TAATAGTCACATACAATATTAATGTCATATGCACATAATTGTAAAAAAATATGCACTTTAACTTTTCTTACATGCATAGTTGATTGTTTATGATATTAAAATTGGATTATGCACGTGATTATTAGGACTCAGTCCCAAGTCTGACTTGGGACCGAGTCTAAATTAAAACTCGACTTCATGGAGTCGAGTCGGACTGGACCGGACTTTTAACATCCCTAATGATAATATAGGGGTGATTATAAAGAGGTATGATATGACTGTATTAAAATTGTGGGGAGTTGATATTTCCACACCCTTTTTTGATAATGCTACACCCGCCGGTCATTTTACAATTTTAATCGAAAATATCTCGACACCCACCTGACCAAATTCGATGAACTTTTTATAAAAAAATTCATTGAATTTGATCAAGTGGGTATCGAGATAACTTCGATCAAAGTTTTTGAAACTATTAAATAGAAGCCGCATTGAAGATTGTTATAAAACTGATCGAAAATATCTCGACACCTGGCCAATTTCAAATAAATTTCTTATAGAGGTGTAAACTAGGGTGTCCAGAATTATGCGATGCGATAGGGTAAACCAGGGCTAAAACGACACATAGTAAATACCTGCCATTCAATAAGTGTCGTTTTTGATTCATATTATATTAAAATTTTATTACTCGTATATTTGATGTATCAAAAACGATACTTCAAACAATGGGCAGCGGCGCAGTAATTTTATTCTCGGAATCATTCGGAAGTTGATTAAAAAACCTGCATCGTGTTTTAAATTCGTTCAATATCTACATTTCAACCCACTCATCTACCAATCACAATACATGCACATGATATTTATGCATTTTTTTAGATCTCCCACAAAACATTAACGTTAATCAATAAATCTCCCCTAACCCTAAAGGTTTCATTACATAAAAATCACGAGGGGGTTTTTTTGTGAGAGAGCTACCAACTATCTTTTTCTGAAAAAATTATTAATACGCGAGATGAACTGATTATGCGAAGCAAATGCGATGCGAAAAAATGGTCAATTATGCACATAGTATCGCATCGCATAATTCAGGACATCCTAACTTATGAGGTAAAATCAAGTGAATATGCATTAATGGGGTTGACTTTATCTTCGATCAAAGTTTTATTCTATCTGGTATTCAAAATTTACTAAAACTTTGATCGAAGATATCTCGACACCCATCTGATCAAATTCGATGAACTTTTTATTTTAATTGTAAAAATCCGTAGAATTTAAAAAAAAAGTTCATCGAATTTTGTCAGATGGGTGTCGAAATATTTTCGACCAAAGTCTTATAACAATCTTTAACGAAGCTGATTGAATATATCTCGACATCCAATCCGATAAGCTTTTTTTTCATTAAATTCTACAAGTTCTTACAGCAAAAATACTATACTTGATGGATCAGCAGTACTGGAATTAAAAAAATATATACTATTTGAGTACTGTTCCTGATAGGGCTCCTACATATCTATCAAGAACGGTACCGACGATCCATTAAAAATGGCATTTTTGCGTTTCTATCGAATTTGGTCAGGTGGGTTTCGATTAAAGTTAAAAAAAAAAAATTTGTAAAAAATTAAAATGGAGTGGCATTATCAAAGGATGTGTAAATATCAATTCCCTAAATTGTGATTGATACTATTAGTTGGAAATCTGGACCACACCGAGTGGAGGTTAGCATCTTGTGATCCTTTGGGTATATCGTGTGGCATTCGTAAACTACTAGCGACCCCAAAAAAGAGAATAATTAGGAAGTTGCGTTCATTGACCCCGTTTGACTATAATCCTTACAGCAATATAAATTCTTTTTACTGTAAAGGGAAAGAGCATAATTAACAGTCGTGCAAATATCATGAATACCATCTACTCGAAAAAATAAGTTGAAATTTTCACTTTGCACGACGACACTTCTGATTGGTCGTGTCGTTTTTCGCTAGAGTGTATCGCGAACTTCCGTAACCCTAAATATTCTCATAATATTTTTGGATGCTTTAGTTTAACAGATGTAAACTATTACATCCAAGCCACGCCATAGGGAGGTATGCATCGCGAAATCCTAAAAAAATATGGTTTGATTCATTTTTTAAAGTTTTAAACCAATAAAATATGATATTAATGATGTACTAACGTCATCTACAGGACGCCAAGTCACTTCTAAGAATAATAAAGAGAAAAAAGTTTGAACAGATGTAAACAAAGTTATTTATAATTCACCTCCACGTGATGATTGGCCTAAATTTGATTTAACATAACACCCATCTGAAATTTTTTGATGACGATACTGGAGTATGTAAAGCGAAACTTCTATTACGTACCATTTGTTAGGCCGACCAATTTAATTCTTCGTTTAACATAAACTCCCATTTTTCAAAATTTTATAAAAAAATACACATCGATTAACCAATCAAATTGTAGTATGAGTTTATGTTTTTTGCAGCCAATAGAGTTGCTGTATTTTTTTAATTTGTGTATTTTTTATGCTCTCCACCCGAACTATTTAATGTTATGTTAAACGAAAAATCAATTTGGAGTAGCCTTAACTAGAAAACAGGTGCTATTAATATCTGAAGCTAAAGTATAAATAAACGTTTAATTCTTGTCTGGCTGATTGATTTCTTTAGTTTGATTAGCTAATCATTTGATGACGTCACTGGGAGCCACAAATTCTGGATGCTCCTCGCTATGATTCGGTTGTGGGCCAGCCCCAATAGAAATGCATTTATAACCGATGATTAACGGTTAAGTAAGACCTTCCAGTCAAGAGGCTGATGGCTGGTGTCAACCTGTATCACTAGTTCGTACGATGTAATATCGATATTATTAAGAGTCGCGCTGATGGTCAGTTTCAATGGTCCCGATATCAATCAATCTAGAATCTAGACCAATGGTGTAAAAAATAATTTTTAATTTTTATATGACACATTATTTATTAAGTATAATTTTTTGATATATTGATACTGTATAACGTTAAAATTTATTCTTAAATACGGTATCATTTTATTGGTCTAATAATTATATATTATTCTACGTATATAATGCTCTTTATACGTATTATTTTGAATCGGAATTGGTTATCAAATTTTTATACGTACAGTACCATTAAAATAATGCATGATTTATTTATTGGATGGTAACTGCGCCTACAAATACTGTATTTTATATACTATACGTATAAGATGCAATAACGATTGTGTATATTTTGTGTATATAATTTTGAACAGCTTTTTAGGAAATTGCTCAGGAATGACTTCACTTAAACGATAATTCTAAAGTTTCAAAAACTTTATATTCGATCATATTTAGGAAATTTGATTTAAGAAAGAATGTTTGAAATTTGTTATACGTTATACGTACGGCGCAGGAAACCTAAAAACTTCAATCATCATTGAAGATAAACTAAATTTGGCATTCTCAATAGTATGTTATTTGCATATATTTTGTTTTTTGCTTATTTTCTTCATACAAAGAGATTTCCTTCGCTTATTGAGATCGATGTGCTACTAGTTTATGCATCATCTCTACATAGAATATTGAGGTTTTTAAATTTCTTGCGCCGTACGAACCGGGCACATATTCAAAATTCGCTTATGCAACCTTCTCATAAATCCTAAAGACAACTGAAAAAATAACTGATTAGTTACCAAATCAGTTACCGAATTCTCTAGCATCTCGACGCGACTTCTTATAACGATTTTGACGCAAATTTAGGGTGTAAACTGGTGGCAACCAAATTGCTATTAAACCCGTTTTACATAATGAGTAATTGTACGTATACAGTACTTGCTTATTAATACGTATCGATATTGGTTACGTAATTCTAATTACGATAGTCCATCAGCCCATATCGATACAGTCATAGAGTGCCTTCCAGAATATATCGAATCATAGCCAAATCACAGAAGCCACATGAAAAAATAACGTCAGCGGTATAGTTAAAATATTAATAACAAAATACCTAAAATGTAGTAATTATTGTTTAATTATTGGTGCTATTAGTGGTGCCATTGTATGACAGATCATACAGTTTTATTCGCCTTATTGTTTTTCACTTATCATGCGATGAAATTAATTACTTTTCAATCTTGCGATGGAATCCGAATCACACACAATGAATAGATTATCTCTTTCAAACTATTTAGATTCTTGTCCCAAACTATTTGGGTATAGATTTACTGAAGCTGCACAACAGAAAATACTCGAACAACTATTTTCAGAATTCTGGAGATCTAACGAAGAGTACAAACCTTTATTTTTTCCAAATGGTTTTGGCGAAGGTTCTAATATATATAAACTAAGTTCCATCAAAGAGGATGCTATGACTGAGTACTCTCCTTCACAGAAAGGAAAGGCCTGTGGTCACGTCTTTAGGAAAGGTGAAAGCATATATCGTTGCAGGTGAGAAAATGTGATATCTACGAAATTTATTTTTATACCTTAGATCAAGAACTGAATAGTTCATATGAGACTGTTTAAAAAAATTTATTAAATAGCTAAACTGCTTATACTATGTTTGTTTAATAACTATTAAAAGGTTAAATTAAAAAACTTATTACCAATACTTAATTATTATTACTATTAAGAATATCTTTATTAAAAAAAAAAAGATGAAAATTTAGTTATTTCTATGAAGGATATTAATTAAATAGTCCCATTTTTTTTATTTAATAGAAATTGTGCTCTTGACGACACATGCGTTTTTTGCTCTCGTTGTTTTCATGCTACAAATCATGAAGGGCATGACATTACCTTCTCTATTAATTCTTCTGGTTCTGGTGGTTGTTGTGATTGTGGTGATGCTGAAGCTTGGAAAAGACCTATTCATTGTTCCTATCATACTTTAGACACATCAGATACATCTCCGGATTTTGACAACTATGAAACGATACAATATGAGGAGCAATTGCCCCCTGATCTCCTTAATTCTATTCATGAAACCATTTCCACTGTCCTTGATTTTATATTAGATACTTTAACTGCTTCCCCTGAGGAGATGAGTACTCCTATTAATGAAGATGAAGTTAGGCGGGAAGCCGTGAAAGCGAGTTTTTCTATTAGAAATTTGACAAATAATACTGAAGAGGAAAAAATGTTTGCTGTTGTGCTTTGGAACGATGAACATCATTCTTTTGATGAGGTAATAGCTCGAGTTGTGGACGCTACTCAATGCAGTCAAGCTGAAGCAAAGGCTATGGCCGAAAAAGTTGATTCTTATGTACGTATTTATATAATTTTTAATATCTTTATTATTGACTAATACAAGTGAATTCAATTGTGAAATTTTAATTATCAAATAGGGACGAGATATTGTCGAAATATCTGAAGACATTCCTCGACTTATTACCATAGCAAGGACTATATCATCTATAGGGCTGGCCGTCACGGTGAGATCTGCACGAGATACTTTTCGTGAAGGAATGTGTGGTCTGTTCATTGATTGGTTGAGAGATCTTGTTGGCGGAAAAATAGGAAAAAATGCTATAATATTGAAGGAGATTATTTGTGAAGAACTTTGTAAGGAATGGAAAAGACCTCGCCGCGTTAAGATAACTAAAGCAAAGGCTAAAACTTTTGATGACGTATTTGATGATAGGCAAAGTGAAAATATTCAAGCGGAAAATGATTATATGACTGATGACGAAGTAATGGTATTTGTAGATCATGAAAATGGCATGAATATTGAAGATGATACATCCACTGAATGCAATCAATCTAATGAATATAATATTGATGATGATATGTCGATGGATGAAGAATCAAATGACACTATAGATTTTATGGATGAAGATGAATATATATTATGTCAATCTGAAGATTTTAAAAAGGAACTACGACTAGATAAATTGGTATTGTTAGATTTAAGACTTTGGAAAGAGGCGCGAGCAGGACTTAGAGAATTATATATAGGGTCTTTGATTGTGAATCGAGAATATAAAAAAAATTTGGGTAATTTTGATTTGCTAATAAATGCCTTTTATATATATATTGTCTTCGTTAGATGCTAATCCGATTTTGTACTTTTAGGTATTCGGTTTGCTCGCAATTATGTCAAACTTGCAAAGGCGTTTCTTACTCCCGATCGTGAACCCGAGCACTCTATTGTCCTTTTCTCCGTTCAGCTCTTTACTGTCCCTTCTATATCTACTATCCTCGTCACACAATATAACTTCCTTTCTACAATATTTACGATCCTCCACACATTCTTTACTTCTGACACAGTCGGAGGTCCTATAAATTTACATGCTAAGATCGATTGTGATTCCGACAGTTTTAAAAATCGACGTTATTTTCACATATTTCAAGACCTTCGGTACATCATTAGTAATGATACCGTAAAAAAAGCAGTTCCAAAACAACATCATTATTTGACTCAATATCTCAATTTGATTGCTTTATTCCAAGGAATGAACCTTAATGTGCGTGCTACTCAACAGCACGTTGAATATGAAAATGATAGCTGGGTAAACGCATTTAATGCTACTTTACAAATCGCCAAAAGTTGCCGTCAGTTTTCTGAGTGCTACGCTGAAGATACTGCAACTTTATGTATGACCATTCACACTGTCTTACGAAAATTATATGAAATATGTGCGAGGAGTGATGATGATACAGATAAAATGGATGAAACAGATGATGATCATCAAAAGGAAGCTGTTATTCCTAATTGGGAAACATCCTCACCCAATTCACACGGACCATTTACAAGGAATTCCAAATTATCTGATAAAAGTGATGATAAGGATGATACTAGTTCTTCTATACGTGAGCCTGAATTTTATGAAATAAGTTTTCCGCAAAATTCACTTTCTTTCAAGGTTGTAAAGTTTGAAGTTGCTTCACAACCTGTAAGCTTTCATAACCCATTACACTGGTATTTGGCCGAATTATTAGAGAATGTAGATTTATTGGATGACAATATGTTAAAGCAACATGGGTGGGATAACTTTCAGAATATGATAATGGGACTTGATGTTGGAAGTGGTGAATCAAGTTTTATAATTCAAAAGGCTACAGAAAAAATTTTGAGTGTAATCGATTATCCATTGAGAGGTAAGTATTAAAAACAATTGTAACTTCATTTACACAATTCTTTAACCATTTTTATTTTGAATAGTATTGGTACTATTGGCCCAGATTCGTGCTGGACTATGGGTACGGAATGGCTTTGGCATTAGAGGTCAAGTAAGTAGAGTAATCCATGGAATATTTTCATAACTATAAATTTTTTTGAATCAAATATTTATTTATTTACCTTAAATTGTAGTGTCATCATTATCGAGAGTTTTCTCTCCGAGAAAATACATATGACGAGGATATCTATCTTATTCAGACCGCAATGGTTATTTTAGATCCAAATTTGGTTCTTGCGACTATTTTGGATCGATTCGACCTTGTGGATTGGCTTAATGGCGGGACTACACACAAGATATATGATACTTCTCAATTGATATTTGTTGCAGAAGAATTATTAACACTCTTGATTATTTGTGTAAGTGAACGTGCTAACGCGGCAGGATTGACCATCGAACAAGAAATTAAACAAGAGATAATCCACGGATTATGCTTAGGTTCCATAGCATATTCAGAATTGACAAAACGTATTCCAGACCGTCTTACACAGGATCCATTGTTTGACGAAATATTAAAACAGCTTTCCCATTATCGTGCTCCAGACACATTAACTGATCATGGATTATATGAACTTAACGATCAGTATTTTGATGAAGTGGATCCGTACTTTATACATTATTCGCGAAACAATCGAGAAGAGGCTGAAGAGGCTTTGAAAAATAGAATGAAGAAAAAAATGGACAGTCTCGAAAAACCAAGTACACCATTAATCATACCAAAATTGATCCCAATTACCAATGGACCATACATACGATTAGGAAATATGCTCCACGCGCGTTTATTGAACCAAATAATATTTTATTCTCTCTGGCACGTTAAAAATGAAGAAAAAATTAAATCAGACACGCTGATAGACGAAGCGCTTCATCTAATTATACTAGCCTTATCAGACGAAAATAATGATATTGTTCGGGAAAATAAACGAAAGGGCAAGCAAAAAGCAGTTGATACTCCGATACCAGTAGATGTTGATGAGGGTATGCCTGGATTTATGTATTATGCAACATTTGATTGCTTCTGTGAGGCGAACACTAGCGCAATGGAAACTCAAGGCACAAGCTTATTGGACTTGTTACTTCAATTTTCTTGCGAGCAAAGTTTCAAAGAATCACATCACAAAATAGAATTTATAATTAATAAATTTGAACAGTTGGGCAGTGATACGGCTAAAATGACCATCACTAAACATTATGAGAAAATTCGACTCGAATCACAGTCAAAAACCGGAGAGGAAGACGGGCTTTCAGAGTTTGAACGAAAAAAACAGGCTGCTAAAGAAAGGCAGAAAAAAATTATGGAACAGTTTGCCATTGCACAAAAAAGTTTCATAGATAAGCATGAAGAATTATATGAGAATGATGAAATGGATCAAGATTGGGAAACTCCATCTACCGAAGATCGATTACAAGTTGATACTATAAAAAGCTCAGAGACATTTTGGTCATATCCCACTGGAACTTGTATAGTTTGTCAAGAAGAAACCAATGCATCATCACTTTATGGTATACTTGGACTTGTTCAACCATCCAAATTATTGAGACATACATCATTCGATGATAAAGATTATGTATTCGAAGCGATTAATTGTTCAGAAAATTTAGATCATAAATATGATCGCTCAGTCCCGTACGGAGTTGCATCTCTACCTTATAATGTGGCAGGGTCTGAATCATCAGCTACATCTAGTCATTTTGTGAGTAAAGGTTTCCCTTCCAATTCTTGTCGGTTGGGATCGTATGCTTCAACATGTGGACATTTGATGCACGTAAAATGCTTTGATACTTATTTTGCGTCATTAGAACAGCGTCATCAACTACAATTAGCAAGAAATCATCCAGAAAATGTCAGTCGAAAAGAATTTATGTGTCCGTTGTGTAAGAGTTTGGGTAATGTCTTATTCCCTGTTGTTTGGAAAGTAAAGAAAGAAATTAATTCTGAAACTTTGGCCGAAAATGAAGAGTTTGAAACATGGTTGTGTGATAAAATCGGATCTGTTATAGAGAAGTCGGATATAAACATTGAATCAGTTGCATCAAAATCGCTTGTTCCACTTTCAGATATTGAATTCACTCGTAGACATTCATCATTTGCTATTGGAACTAACAATCGAGATTTTACTAACAACACTGGATTACCGGCACATAATCTTGCTCAAACAATTCCGAACCAACAAAGGAGGAATAGCAGTGGTCCTGGTAGGCTTAGAGACGCATTTACTCAAATTGTACAACACATGCTAAGAACTCCAACTGCTACACAAGATGTATCTACTCCTGCCACTGATGAATTATCAGTACTTTCAACTCCAACCTCATCAAGGACTGATGGATCTACGACTTCTGAAGATGAAGATCATGAGACAATTCGTAGGATGTACAATCGCTTAGCGGAAGTTGTACATATTTCTTATCAGAACGTTTTAGGTGATATTTCTTTTCAAAGTATGCAGCATCTAAGTGTTGAATGTATTTGGGATTTATTTGGTTACACGATATCTTGCGTCGAAATATCTCAACGAGGTGTTGGTGAAAATAATCCAGGAGCTACTATTGTTGACAGCTTAAGCACACAAACACTAACTATTCTTAGAATTCTTTCGGAAACTGCTATTACATATATTAATACAATGTTAGTTGGTCAACCCGCTGAGGCTAATTTGAAGCAAATAGCTTCCTACAGAATTAAGCAAATATTTTACGGACACCCTACAATGCAACAGCAAAAAAGTACCACAATTTCTGGCTCTGTTAATGATGAATCAATACAGACTCAAGAGAAATTTGATTCAAGCTTCTTATCAATAAAGGCAAAGCCTTTATTACTAGAAGATCCCTTTCTATTGCTTGTTGAATGTAGTATGAACACATCTTTGGCAATCGAATGTGAAATTAGCCATTTGATAAGAACACTATTTGTAGCTGAAGTTGTCAAAGTAATACTTTCTGTTGCTGAATCGGCCATTGATGACAAGACTAGGGCTTGGAGAGATGAATTACGCCTTAACAAAGATTTTACCGCTGAGTGCGCGTTTCCAGAATCAAAAAGGTCTTCATTTCGGGGCTTTGCTTCATGGGTATTACAGCAAGTTGGTAACGACAAACATGATAACATTAATTTCCTGGACGATATAGGAGAGTCAGCATTCCTAAACATCATTAGAACATTCTGCTTGCCTTATTTGAGAAAATGTATGATCCTATTGCATTCGAGATTTGGCATCGTGTTTTTCACTCAAACATCGAATGCCATGGAAACAGAGCTCAATGAGTTTACAAGATTGAGCAAAATATTAAGACTTCCTTCATTGGGTGATATTTGTTCATTAAATGAAACAAATAAAAGTGATACAAATATGCTTGCAATTATTGCAGGTTGGTGTAATCATCTGAACGCCCTTAGGCGAGAACCCCTATCTATAGTAGATTTGTCTGGAAGTCCAAGTGATTCTAGCTATTCAAAGGAACCATTGGCTGTTACAATTAATCACCCAGCCATATTCGAATTAGTAGGATTACCGAAGAGATTAGATTCTTTATTCGAAGAAAGCATGAGAAGAACATGCAAAAAATGTAAAAGTGTGCCGAATGACCCGGCCTTGTGTCTTTTATGTGGTACCTTTGTATGTAGTCAAAGCTACTGTTGTTCTGATGAGACTCGGGGTGAATGTTACATTCATGCAAAAAGGTAAAATACTAAAATACATACTAAAATATATCTCACTTTTATTCCGTAATTGTATTTAACTTACTAATTCTAAAATTTTTATATTGCATCAGTTGTGGTGGTGATATAGGAATCTATTTACTTGTCAAGAAGTGTGTAATATTATTACTTCATCTAGAAAATGGATGTTTCCAGAACGCACCATACCTTGATACTCATGGCGAAGTGGATTTGGGGCTAAAGTATGTATTTACAATGACTTGTTGAAAATCAGTTATTTTCGAAAAAATATTTACGAATATACTATTATTAATATTTTAGGCGTGGCAGACCACAATTTCTTAACCAAAAGCGGTATGATGAAATTCGTAAGTTATGGTTGACACACGGTGTGCCAATACATGTTGCGAGAAAGATTGAACAAACGTTTGATTTGGGAGGATGGCCGACTATGTAAAGAATTCTTAAAGTTTTATTTTTGAATTGTGCACACGTTTTCTTACTGTTTAAAATTTAAACCTCTATTTATTTTGGATTATCGATATAGTATCAATATTGTATGATATAAAATATCTAATATGTAAGGTTAGGGTGTAAAAGTGCTATCGTGCATGTAGAAAATTTTTACATTTTTTTTTTTTTTTTTTTTTTGTATATTTTCCTTTATTAGCTTTACATTAAGTAAAAAAAAAAAAAGAAAAAATATATATATATATCTTTTCGTATCTCAATGTATGAAGGTAGAAATTTATTTAGACGACAATTTGAGCAGTCATGTATTAGAAATTTACTCTGGGGATTATATTATTTTGAAATCGCGCTAGGCATATTAAATTTTTTGTAGAAACCCTCTCTTTAGTCGACAATTATTATAAAAATACATAAAAGTCAATAGTTTAGTTTTAAAAAGTTGAGTTTACTGTAATTACAGTAAATGTTTAATGTTTAATAAAGTTTTAATAAATTGTTTAAAATATAAATTATCAAATTATATGCAGTTTAATCTCTCTATAGTTACATCTTTAGAATACAAAAAATGGGAATTATATAGAGATGTAATTAATATTGTATAGAGTGCACTTTATATAGTTGCAGCTATATTAAAAATAAAATTTTGTAACTATAGAGATTTTATATTTTTTTTTTTGCAGAGGAGGTTTTTTTTCTATTTTCTTTATTATAAATATAATTGAATTACATAGTATTTTCTAATTCAGTAATTTACATTCTGAAGGTACGTATTAGAAAAGAATATGCATGTTATGATATTTAGAATTATATAGTAATTTTTAAGGATAACTCTGATACTTATGCAGAATGTACTGAAGGTCGCGAATAAACTTTATCTATTATGTTTTTCATTAACTAACAAGACATTGACATGTAATAAAGTCTTTTATAAAATTAAAAATTGAATTAATTTTAATGGTCATATTTATATGAACTGGCTCTTCTAAGTTTTATGAAGTCTTAATTTTATTAAATATTTATTCAGAAATTTAACTTGGAACCACTGGAACATTGAAAATATCTGGACATCCAGTGAGGTTCTAGCTTCCAGTCAATAATACTGATCTAGACTATATTATTAAGCACCACTCACATTTTTTTATTTCTGTGACATTACTTTTATGTAATTATAAAATTTTATTCACTTATCATCATACTACAATTTAATAATTTAAAGAACCACACTTATTTTTTTGAAGTTATTAAAATAAACATTAATTTTTTGCATTTAAGAAAATTAAACCTTAAAAGTTTCGAATGTAAGAAACAAAATCTAAACACAAATATAGAAAACAATTAGCACCAACTAAACCTGTTTAGCTAATAGACCTCCATCTAACCAGCCCAGTTGAATGGCCTGTATTTCTTTTACTAAAAGATAAATATTTGTTAATATTAATAAATATTTGTTAATATTAAATCTTATAATTTCTGATTAATTAAATTACTTACCACGACAACTTGATTCAAAATATAAGCCCCAGCAACTACATATTTCGCAAAACTCCAATAAAGTGGCAAAGCGATGGTTCTTGTTTTAGGCCATGAAGCCAAAAAATTGGTAATGTAATTGGGTAGGATCATGAAGGAAACATATATCCCATGCATTTATATAAATTGCGGTAGTGATTGTATTTTTAGAATTAAAGTCCTGGTCAGGTGCAACCAATATTTCTAAGTTGTAGATTAGTAAATATAATCAGTAAATTTTTTTTAAAATGTCATATATATAATTGTCCTTTGTGATTTCAACCTCTTGATATCTTGCATTAGCACTTAGGAGTTTTTTATTTTTTCCAATGACATATGTAAATACCAAACAATATTAAATAGATTGATGCTAAAAATTTTAAAATAATAAATTTCAAAAAATAAATAATAAATAATTAAATATTATATTGGCCAGTGCAAAAAAGATAGATACCTCAAAATTTTAATTAAAAAGTACTACTAATAAAGGTTTTTAATTGGCAATTCACCAGTCACCTAGACAAAAAATTTTTTTTTTATATATAAATTTTATTATAAGTGCAAATGCATAGCGTCTCTATCTGAAACTTTTTTTTATACTAAGTAAATCACTCTTTAGCTTCTAACAAAAGTTGTAGAGCTCATTAAAATGTATTTAATATTAAAAAGATATTAAAATTGGCCTGGTAATTCTTAAGAAATCTTTAAAAAACTTCTTTTTCACATATAAAATTTCTTTAAAAAAA